CTGTTGTGGGTACAGCTGGTGTGTGTGCTGCTGGTGTGTGTACAGCTGGTGTGTGTACAGCTGTTGTGGGTACAGCTGGTGTGTGTGCAGCTGGTGTGTGTGCTGCTGGTGTGTGTACAGCTGGTGTGTGTGATGCTGTTGTGGGTACAGCTGGTGTGTGTACAGCTGGGGTGTGTACAGCTGGTGTGTGTACAGCTGTTGTGGGTACAGCTGGTGTGTGTGCTGCTGGTGTGTGTGCAGCTGGTGTGTGTGATGCTGCTGTGGGTGCTGCTGGTGTGTGTACAGCTGGTGTGTGTGATGCTGGTGTGGGTGCTGCTGTTGTGGGTACAGCTGGTGTGTGTGCAGCTGGTGTGTGTGTGATGCTGTTGTGGGTGCTGCTGGTGTGTGTACAGCTGGTGTGTGTGATGCTGTTGTGGGTGCTGCTGGTGTGTGTACAGCTGGTGTGTGTGCAGCTGGTGTGTGTGCAGCTGGTGTGGGTGCAGCTGGTGTGGGTACAGCTGTTGTGGGTACAGCTGGTGTGTGTGCAGCTGGTGTGGGTACAGCTGGTGTGTGTGCAGCTGGTGTGTGTGATGCTGGTGTGTGATGCTGGTGTGTGTACAGCTGGTGTGTGTGATGCTGTTGTGGGTGCTGCTGGTGTGTGTACAGCTGGTGGGTGCAGCTGGTGTGGGTGCAGCTGGTGTGGGTACAGCTGTTGTGGGTACAGCTGGGGTGTGTGCAGCTGGTGTGGGTACAGCTGGTGTGTGTGCAGCTGGTGTGTGTGATGCTGGTGTGTGATGCTGGTGTGTGTACAGCTGGTGTGGGTGCTGCTGTTGTGGGTACAGCTGGTGTGGGTGCTGCTGTTGTGGGTACAGCTGGTGTGGGTGCTGCTGTTGTGGGTACAGCTGGTGTGTGTACAGCTGGTGTGTGTGCTGCTGTTGTGGGTACAGCTGTTGTGGGTACAGCTGGTGTGTGTGATGCTGGTGTGGGTGATGCTGGCGAAGAGGGATGGGAGTGAGAGCAGTGTCCAGTGCACTCCGCTGACAGTGGGCAACTGTCGTGGCGATCACCTCGCACGCTCTGATGAGCACGGTTGGCTACGTACGGTGCAAAAGAAGTTCAGGTTCAGTTCAAGTTCAACCTCGCACGGGCTGAGTTGCCGCACGCTGCGTTGTGGTGCACGCCGCGTACGGTTTTAGTGCATCGCGCTTTTAACCAGGGTTCAATTCCCAGCTATGCCTAATGTCTGTTTCGCGCCTCCGATTAGCACGGTTGGCTACGTACGGTGCGAAAGAATTCCAATATGCGTACATACATCTCCGGCATCTGCAATGCGAGAATATGCCTCCCCCCCCCCCCCACCAGATACATGTTTACATGTCCGGGCCTTTGTGAGCTCTCAACGAACGGTACCACTTTTGAAAATAAACGAATGATTAATCCACGCTCCGTTACAACGCTAACCTTCTACAACCGCGCCGTCTCTTAAAGCGCAGTATCTCAGCGACGCGGACGCGAGGCGACGACCTTGTTATGTTTACGCGAGGTTTAGTTGAGCATCGCTGCCTGCCTCGTGTGCGGGTTTGCGCCCCTTTCTAAATCCCCCCCACCGCGAATGATCGCGACACTTAATGAGCGTTCCTTTTTGAGCATCCGGCGTCCGCGTAAAATCGTAAAGTGCATTGTAAAAGGCCGGGGGTGGGGGGAGGAGAGTTTCGCGATCGCCCAGTGCTTTCTTTTTGGTGGGCTCGGAATCGGCCCTGCCCTGTTTCATTCTCTGCGGCCAAGCCTCCCACTTGTATTAAGACGTCATGTTGCTGCTATCCACAAGTCGTTTAGCTTTTGTAGATCGGTCAGAGCCGGCATGGCAACGGTCAAATAATAATAATAATTTCTTACAGCAGCAGCAACAACAAACGCATCGTTAAATTGTCTTTATTTAGCGAGGGCATCATTGCGTGCCTTGCCATGGGTGCATCTGTCGAACCGACAGAGTTGAGAAGTTCAGTCACCTCTGGCTTGTCGTCAACGACGACGATGATGATGATGTAGGAAGAAGCGACGGCCGCATTTGCATTGATCGCCGAGTGGAAAATCAGGCGGAAAATGACTGAATTTAAAAATAAGGTGGAAAATGAGTTCATTGAAGACGCGAATAAACATGAATGCAATGAAAACCACTTTGCGGTGCATGTTGAACGTATTAAGCTTATATGTGTATGTATGGCGAGTTTCTATCGTACCATGCATGGCCCACCGTGCTAATCAAAGGTGTGGGAAATCATTAAAGATGTGTCATTTGTATTATGATACCTCCTTTGCCAGTAACAAGATATAGGAATAGGTTTTACCCTTGTAACTGGCACAAAAACTGACACCTTTATTCAAGGTATCATGTTTGCAATAACCACAACACAAGCAGTCAAAATGCAAACAAAAAAGACAACTCTGATGATAATATGCTTTGTCCTTGAATTTGATTGGTCCAGAGTTGAGACGTCTCGGGTGTGGACCAATCAAATTCAAGGACAGTGCATATTATTATCAGAGTTGTCCTTTTTTGTTTGCATTTTGACTGCTTGTGTTGTGGTTATTGCAAACATGATGCCTTGAATAAAAGGTGTTAGTTTTTGTGCAAGTTAAAAGGGTAAAACCTATTCCTATGTGTCATTTGTGTCGTGCGACACATCATTAATGCCACACTTAAAGCGAACTTGAACCCGTAAGCGCGCGAGGGTGTCCGCTCATTCCTCCTGCAGTAAGCACTTTCGCAACAACAACAAAAACGTGGTGGCAACAACAAGAACAACGCAAAGGCTGGAGCGTTCGGCGGTAGACCCCAGCGTTCGTTAGCAGCACGGGGGTTGTTGTGGGGTGGGGGCAGCATTGAGGCAAGAGCGCGTAGCAGGGGGCACAACGCGTCACGCCTCGCCTCCCCTGGGGGGGGGCTCTGTCGAGACGGGGAGCCCCGAGGGCACGGTGTCAGTGCGGTACCACCATGGAGCCGGCGGTTAGTGACGGGGCGCAGGCGACGGGGAACGAAGCCGCTCCGAAGAGACGGCGCGGATTTCGGACGCGGATGAGGCTGCCAGGGAATGGATCGTGGCCGAGAGGATGCACACGGAGGAGATGGAGCGATTAAATTAGTTCCACGTGCAGGCTAGGTATGGGGTATTACAGAGCTGGATCATAAGAGGTGGTGGTGCTCTTCATCCAGCGATGTCTTGACCATGGTTTATGATGATCACGCAATACCACCAGCATGAATATCTCTGACGAGCATTAGTTTTTATTTTGTTGTATTGCATTTTTTTTTATTTGTCATCCGAATCCCATTTGTGTGCCGACCGGGGTCGTGTTATCATGAGACCCAGACCAGCCCTTCCAGGTCTTCCAGTCAGGAGTGACATGTTATGCCAGAAAAATCCCCTGGAAGGTGACACCACTTAACCATTCTAGATTTGAAGTTTTCGTGACTGCAAGGATCCATACTCTTTGTTTTTTTCGGTAAAGTCACGTAGCAGGTGAAAAAATAAATTAAGATAAAGACAAATAAAATTTAATTAAATCACGACGTTTCGGAAGCAACACAAGCAACCGTCATTAGGTGTTGACTGCTCCAGCAAAAATACCGAGGCGTCTGAGGAGAGTTATTACGAGGCAACGTGTTTATATAGGGTGTTAGGGGGGGGGGGGGTCAAGGGGTCGGCGTTGAGCCTGTGGCAAGCAGTGTGCACGATGGTCCACTGGATTAGTATGAGTTAAGCCGATAGATAACCATCTATATTCTTTTGTGATGTCAGGTTAGGGGAGTGTGCACGAGTGCAGTGCCTGCCCGACAAGTGATGGTGGTGTATCAGGCTGGGAGTAGAAAAAAAAACTGGAAGAAATGGATATGGCTGTACAATTATAAGGCAGTTAACGTTTGACTTGGTTGATGACATCTTTCCAATGATTGCTTAATTTAAAACCATCCTCTCGGTTGAAGTTATGTCTATGTTTGCATATCTGGATGGCTTCATGGACAAATATTTGGTAGTATCCGGGAGGTTTGCAGAGTACTTTGGTATCGGAGAAAACAATATCATGAGAACCCGCTGTGTTGAAACAATGATCAGCTACGGCCAAATAATTCGTTCTGCCGTGTTTCAAAACTTCAATCAAGCAAAAATTCACAAAATGACTCAATGTGGATTTAAAACACGTTTAAATGCAACTACAGCTCACGCCGCTGTATCTCTGCTATGTCTCCCTCGCCCGTCACTCGGCGACACTTCATCATGCACTACAAAGAGCTATTTGCTGTGTGTCCATTTTCGTATTTATACTTTTCACCATTTGAACCGGGGTCGAATGAATTGACAGAAAATTCAAATGTCACATTATGGGTGGGGTTTTTTTGTCTTTTCCTCCAAAGTCACCGGCAAACAGAACGAGACCGCAAAACTCACTGCACACACACACACACGAGCCGAGTTGGATCGCAGATGGTCATCTCGGCTTGAGCTTAGGATCACAGCGACGCTGACTCAGCGCTCGAACGTGGCCATCGCGAGTCCTACAAAGCAGACCTCCTCTGCGACTTATTTTAGTGCGAACTTCTTTGCACGCAAAAATCCCGATTGGAGTCACTTCTCCCTTTCTGCAGAGTAAACACCGACTCAAGTAGAGCGCAGCGATTGTTGGCAAATTGTGCCAACGGCACGTTTAGTAAATAATTATCTGCACTTTGGCTTAATTTTCTAGAAAATGGCACAAAGGTTGTGTTGGTCACGTTACGAAGCATTGTTGGAATAACTTTCTTTTAATCCCTGTTGTTTTCTCCTGCTACACCATCTTAACCACCGCACCTCATCCTGGGCTGCAATCACCACCACCGCCACCACCTCCTCTTTCCACCATCACCACCACCTCCCAACGTCACCACCACCTTTCACCGTTACCACCACCTTTCACCGTTACCACCACCACCACCATCCCACTGTCACCCACCTCCCACCATCACCGCCCCCGCGTCTTCGCAGGAAGCAACGGCTATGCGCTGCAGTGCGTCGCGATTGCACGGCACCGCGCGGCAGCGGCTGCGGCGGCGGTGGCACAGGGACCCCCGGCCCCTCGCCGGCTCGAACCGACCGTGCACGCCGCACCGGGGGGGTACCCGGCGACAGACGCCGGCTGCCGCCCCCACTTCCTCGGAATGCACCAGGGGCCCCCCTCGGCGATTCATCCCGACGCCAGGTGAGGCAACTGGCCACCACCGCATTCAGGGCAGGAGGAGTCGTGCGGAATTGCGATGTCGCTGTCAACGTGTGGGGCCTGGGGAAGTGCGAGATACTAACATGGTCTCTGAGGGAGCGGCGGGGAAGTCTTTACCACGCTGCACGATGGACTCGGTATCCTGGAGCGTCACGCTTAGCCACAGCTACCATTGCTGCGTGCCCCCACCCCCTTTACCATACCGCAGTGGCTAGTGTGGTGAAGTATGGTGAACAAGCCTCCATGACTGATTGGATAGGGAAGCCTTCATTCAGCAGTGGCTTGATAAATTACTGTAGATTATTTTTTTACAGAACATTCAGAATAAACCAGCTTGGTTTCATCATCTTCATAATAATTTTTTTTTACATTTATAGAAAAAAAATCTAATTAACCTGGCTTTACACGAACGGGTGATTTAAATCGCACTAAACTGAATAATTTCCTGTTGTGCTAGTAAGGGCGAGCAACTCGCGGCGCTCAAATCGGCATTGTGTTTTTATCAACTCCTCTTCCTAGCAGATCGCTTATTTCCCACGAGTCCACCACGTCCATCGGCCCCGGCCTGGCCGACAGCCAAACCGCGGCTCTGAAGCAGGAGTGGCCACTGGCGGGCGGCTACGGCACCATCTCCCCGTCGCCCGCCGGCGCCTGCGACGGCGACCAGACGCACGGCCGCGGCAGCGAGCCGGCGCCCGCCCCTGGTGCCTGCCGCTACCCGTTCGGCGACCCGGCGACGGCGCGGGCCGGGCGCCTCGACCGCCACCGCAAGCGCGCGCCGCACTCCGCGCCGCACTCCGCGCCGCACTCCGCGCCGCACTCCGCGCCGCTCTCCGCGCCGCACTCCACGCCGCAAGCGTTCCCTGGCGACATCGACATCGACGCCGTCGTCCGCACCTCGCCCACGTCTCTCGCGGCGTACATCGGCGCCGGCGCCCGGGCCGCCCCCTCGTGCGTCTCGCTTCAGGCCGGCGTCTACGGGCACCACCTACGCGCCAGGGCCGGGGGCCCCTCGCCCCCCGGCGGACAGCGCCACGCGGAGCTGGCCGGCCGCGCCGACGATCGCTCGTCGCTCGACGACGAGCGCCACTACTCGTGGGAGGCCGCGGTCGGCGCGGCGGCGCGCCGAGGGCGCTGCGCCGCCTTCAAGCGGGAGCCGCCGAGCAACGGCTACCCGGACGCCTGCCCGCTCACGCCGCCGCCGCCGTACGGCGCTCACCGCGGTCCCGCCGGCGCTCCCGCGGGCGCCGGCGGAGGGGACCCGGAGGCCGGCGCCCCCGGGGCCGAGGCGGCGGCGCCGCTGGAGCCGGACGAGGTGGAGTTCCGCTGCCGGTGGATGGACTGCGCGGCGTCGCAGCACGGGCGGCGCGAGGAGCTGGTGCGGCACATCGAGAGGGCCCACGTGGACCAGCGCAAGGGCAGCGACGACTTCACCTGCTTCTGGACCGGCTGCCCCAGGCGCTACCGGCCCTTCAACGCGCGCTACAAGCTGCTCATACACATGCGCGTCCACTCGGGGGAGAAGCCCAACAAGTGCACGGTGGGTGGAGGTGTAGCGGCGGCACGTCGAGACGTCAAATTCAAATCGAGCGTTACGCTCGTGATACATGCACCAAATTTGCTGTGTGTGAGAATCAATTGCTTTAGATGCATATACATGTTCAACCAAGAAATCTTATTTAAATCGCGCACTTCACACGAGTAAGGCACCTCAGAGGGCTTTTGCATAAAATGTAATTTACATGAATGTTGAGTTGAATCGGTTCACGTTGCCTCTGCAGCCGCAAGAGTCACTTCGGCGCACCGCGATGGTAAACATCACAAGCGATTCCATAATTGCTGCGCGACAATTCATCAACTCGGGAAGTTGGCGAGTCGTTAACGGCTTAGCGTTCATTTGCATCAAGGCAAGAGGGCGGTCGTTCTTGATCTACAATTTACTGCAAAACCACGTAATGCAGGCTGGATTGGCCAATGGGTGTGGGATGATGATGATGATAACAAAAAAAACGAGAAATACAAAGGAAACTCAAAACTTGGCCGGGTGTCCTTCTCACTTAAACCACTCACGCCTGATCCAGGGGATTTGTTGAACGGCGTGGGAAACTAAACTATTAGTTTTTTTTTATTTTACCAGGTAAGGCCCACTGAGCCATATAGCTATTTTACAGAAGCGACCTCGCAACAAATAATAGCTCAACTCAGTGGCTTATCACGTGGAAATGTATAACAGCCAAATAGTATGAACGCACGGTGATTCTAAAAATGGAGGACACGAAGAAAAATCCACACAACTATCACGGGGAGAGAGGCATGCAAACTCCAAATATATAATGCATCGTCGGGGTCGGGTTTCGAACCTATGGATACCAGGTGAGGGAGTTCACATCTCATCATATTTAGCGGAGGGGGGAGGGCGAAAGGAGCCCACTCTTTGATGGCAAACCTGAAAAACTGCCCACCCATGTGGCAGGCGATGTGCTTAGCTGTGCGAGTTGATTTCTGAGAGGCGTTCGCTGCTCTGTGGTCGTTGTGGAGCCAAGGGCAGGGGGGGGACTCCTCGCCCTATGTCAAGCTGCTCCGGAGTTTTCACGTTTGATAATAATTATCTTGGTTAAGCTTAGCGATGGGCCGGAAAGGAAGATTAATTGTTTAAATCCATTGTCCTGTGAGGATCATCTGGGCTCGCGTAGGTCAGCCTGCTTGCCTCAATTATGTCCCAAATCTCACTGGAACACTTGTGTGAAATATCATTCTATTAAGTCCTCAAATCCCACCAACTGAGTTGACTTTACACAAAGCAGTACTCTTTTCATAAACCCCAAAGGGATGATTGGTTCATCACAACAATGAAAATGTGTTTTATTGGTTAGCTTTTATTTAATCTCACTTGCGTTTTTTTAATTGTTCAATCTAAACCCATAGTTATTGTCCTTGATACGAAAAATAATCAAACGTGGCATTGCAGCCGTGCGATTGTGACAATATAGAGCCATGCCGCCATGAATGTGCTTTTGTGCTGTCTGCAGCGCAGACCGTTCCACCAGCTGACAAACGAGAAAAACAAGTTCGAGCCATGACCTCGCAGAGCTTTTAAATGCTCCGCACATATCAAAATATGATGCTTGCCAATCTTCACGTTTTCACACGCGGGGGGAGGGGGGGTGGAAGCGCCGAAGAGGGGATTGCTGAATCGCTCAATGTGGTACTTTTTTTCAACAACAACAAAAAAAACATTTTTTTTCAGTTAAATTAATTGTCTGTCAAGCGTCTGTCCTTGGGGCCCTCTGTGTTAAATCTCTCGAGAGAGTGGACCCGCAGGATCCTAATCTTGGCCATCAGCGAGCGACTGTGCCCCCCACGGAATCCCCCAGTGCCCCCCCCGCCCCCCCTCCACACAAAAATGTGACAGGACGAATTCACTTTGGTGGTGCCTTGCACCGCTAAAGTCTGGCCGAACATAGATTTTTGTTTCTATATACTCTATCAGAATTAAAGAAAAAAATTGCAGCCAATTTGTCAACCCAATACTGAATTAAAGCCCCCCCCCCCCCATTTGCTGGTTGTGTGGCTATTCGACTAAAATAAGTTTAAATGAATCTTGTACCAAAACCAACCCCCTGGGCAAATGACTGTGCGCATGAAAAAAAAAGAATTACACTCCGACGTATATTATTTTTGTAAAATAAAACTCCAAGCTCACCGTGTTATGATCTTAAACTCTCTTCTCATATTGCAGGCAATTTGTTAAAGAGATTTTCTTCCAGAACGATGCACTGGAGGATTGCGTGGAAAGATTTTTTTTTATGGCTGCGTGGTATATATATATGCTTTTTTATATAAATTAACTTATCGAGAGGCTTTAAAATAACTTTGAGCTTAAGTTGCGCAATGGTCATAAACATCTCTATTTCAAAGAGCGTGAGAATATAGTGGGTCATTAATATTTGGTATTTTTGGCTCCTCGCACCCTGCCGTACACGTGCTTTTGGACGCTTTGTTCATTTAAAGCGCTCGAACGCCCTCTCACATGTGGCAAATATTTTCTTTTTCTTTCTTACACACTTTATAACAGCCACTTGTAATTTAAAAATAAATGTTTTGTTTCAGGACCGATCTCGGTCGAAAACTTTGCACCGCTCGCACAAAAGCTCCGCACTGCTTCGCGTGATGGTATACCCAGAGCGTGGGTATACACACCACGTGATGGTATACACACCACGTGATGGTATACACACCACGTGATGGTATACACACCGCGTGATGGTATACGCACCGCGTGATGGTATACGCACCGCGTGATAGTATACACACCGCGTGATGGTATACACACCGCGTGATGGTATACACACCGCATGATGGTATACGCACCACGTGATGGTATGCTCAGAGCGTGGGTATACACACCACGTGATGGTATACACACCGCGTGATGGTATACCCACCACGTGATGGTAAACCCAGAGCGTGGGTATACACACCACGTGATGGTATACACACCACGTGATGGTATACACACCTCGTGATGGTATACACACCACCTGATGGTATACACACCGCATGGGTGCACGCTGGAGGACTGGGGCGCCTGGATATTCAGAAAGCGGTGGGGCAGAGTTTAGGTGGACGTGGGGTGTGGGTTGGGGTGGATGTGGGGTGTGGTTTGGGGTGGATGTGGGGTGTGGGTTGGGGTGGATGTGGGGTGTGGGTTGGGGTGGTTTTGGGGTGTGGGTTGGAGTAGATGTGGGGTGTGGGTTGGAGTGGATGTGGGGTGTGGGTTGGGGTGGATGTGGGGTATGGGTTGGGGTGGATGTGGGGTGTAGGTTGGGGTGGATGTGGGGTATGGGTTGGGGTGGTTTTGGGGTGTGGGTTGGGGTGGATGTGGGGTGTGGGTTGGGGTGGATGTGGGGTGTAGGTTGGGGTGGATGTGGGGTATGGGTTGGGGTGGTTTTGGGGTGTGGGTTGGGGTGGATGTGGGGTGTGGGTTGGGGTGGATGTGGGGTATGGGTTGGGGTGGTTTTGGGGTGTGGGTTGGGGTGGATGTGGGGTGTGGGTTGGGGTGGATGTGGGGTGTGGGTTGGGGTGGATGTGGGGTGTGGGTTGGGGTGGATGCGGGGTGTGGGTTGGGGTGGATGTGGGGTGTGGGTTGGGGTGGATGTGGGGGTGTGGGTGAGAAGCCACTGGAGCCATGGACTTTTCAATCTCGATTGAAAACTAATTTCTTTAGAACTGCTCTGTGTGTTTAGCTTGTTGTCCTTCTCCCACACCTCCGATTAGCACTGTTGGCTACGTACGGTGCGAAAGAATTTCGACATACATACATTTATCCTGCATTGGAACCATTCCATGTGCACGCATGCCACATTACGAGTGTGCATTCACAAAAGCATGACTATTTGCAAGACTTCAGCAAGCACATGCAGAGTAAATCGTATCTACAATATAACACAATTATTACAAACTTGCCACTGATGCCACTGACATCAGTGGCGAGTGATATCGAAAAACGGCTCTGGGCCTCCCCTGTTCACAAATCCTCACCGAGCAGCGGAAGCGAAGTCTGGTGGTGAATCAATGGCACAGCGTGGAGAGAATACAGCGGTGGCAACATGTTAACGATCTCGCCCTGGTGTGCAGGAGTCCCCGAGTTCGATCCCGACCCCTGACGCCTGCTGTTGTATATTTGGAGTTTGCGTGTCTCTCTCACCCCATGGTCGCGTGGATTTTTCTCCGGGTTCCTGCGGGGTTTTCCCTCCGCATTTACAAATGTTTGTTGAGAGTATTTGGCTGAAATACATTAGTAAAGGATCATTATAGGTAGCTCAGTGGGCCTTACCTGGTTTAAAAACATTGTTTAGTTTTAGTTTAGGCCTTCATTCAGCAGTGGACTGCCAAAGGTCATTACATTATTTTATTATTTGGATGAGTAAAGCGCCTTTAATGCAACCATTGTCTCAAGATAATGCGCCGGGGAGACGTGCACGTGAAAGGGGTTTTAGGAGAGGACAGGTGAAACGCAGCAAGGGCGAGGGTTTGCCTCTTTGAGAAAGCAAAGGCTCTCCGTGACTTCACAGGAAGACGGTGCAAGGGGGTTGGTTGTGTGAGAGGCACGGAGAGAAGGGGGTGAGGGGGGAGATAAAGAATGGTGCCGTGCGGGTTCTGGTCTCTGAATGCAATGTTTATGCCCGGGATTTCATCTTTCAAACACAGCAATGGCACCCCTTCTCATTTCCAAATACACGATAGGATTTGCATTTAAGCCATAGGCTCGTTCTCAAATTACATTTGTGTGCACATGTCAAATTATGTTGTCTTGCTTCTATTCCTCTGATGTGTATGGGGTTTTTTCAAAACTTATTTGTCTCGTCAGACCGCACTTCGAAATATTCACCGTGATTTAACGCGATTCATGTTAAGTTTGTGCTTGTTTTAACCTTGGTATCCCTTCAAAACGTAGGCCAATCAGCTGTTTTTTAAGAATATTATTATTGTGGGTGACTGGAGTCAGAGGCATCTGACTGGTAGTCACGACCACAGCGAATTGGCTACTAGATGTGATGGGCCTGCTGGAGGTTTTTCTGGGTCATCAACTCATGTTGGTATTAATTCCTGGGTGCCCGTTAGCGTGCGTCAGTTCAAGGGAGCGGTCGTGTAGTGGTTAGCCCACTGCACTCTTTTTTTCCCAGGCCCCCTAAAAAAAAAAGATTCCAGCTCACGGTTAATATCGGTGATCTGAAAAAGAGTACCTGGCACGATATATAAACATCAGCCTTGGGGAGACAAAAACAGCCGGGAATTGTGCTGGTCACTCAAGGCACTCGTCTGCGTGTCACCCTCCATTTCGATGTTCGCGAACAGCACTTTGCTCCACCAGTCTGTTAAAAGGCTTTACATGCCGGTGTTGTGGCGTGGTCTGCGTCTCTGTCAGTTTGAGGGCTGCAGCAAAGCGTTCTCCCGGCTGGAGAACCTCAAGATCCACCTGCGAAGCCACACGGGCGAGCGGCCCTACCTGTGCCAGCAGCACGGCTGCCACAAGGCCTTCAGCAACTCCAGCGACCGCGCCAAGCACCAGCGCACGCACTTCGACACGGTGAGGCCGCCGCTCGTCGCCGTTTAGCCGCGACGTTCTGCCGGCGGGCCCTCGGCGAGGCTGGGCCCCCGAGATGTTCGTCACGGTTTAAAAATCGTCTGTGGCCTCGTGCTCGGCTCGCGATACAGGCGCAGGGGGGTGGGGGGGGGAGCAAGGGGTGAGCGGCCTACCCGAGTCGTGGTTGCCAGGGAAGCAGGCCGAGCCTGATGAGCAAGCAGTCGGTGAAAGGGGGTCGACGCCAGAGAGAGCGAACACACTCGCCGGGTAGAAGGGCGTGCTAGTGAGTTCAGTGGGCGTGTCTATGCAAAAAGTGGGCGGGGCTGTTTAGTAGAGGGAGGGGCCTGCAGGCTCACCGCGCGTCTCCGGTTGAGCCTCCCAGAAAAGACGACTTGAGCTTTCGCGTCACCACCGCCACCGCCAGCCTCTGCACTCGCGCGAGGCGGTGGGGTCACAGGTGCGACAGGTGGCTGGCGGTGCACGAAGGTTGCCCTCGCTATCACCTGCTCAGCACAACCACCCCCGCACGCACGCGCCGTGTGCGTGCAGGCTGCCAAAGTTTCGAATTAACGCCACCACCTCCTCCTCCTCCAACCACGCCCTCCCTCTCCCCCCATCGCTTTCCTTTTTATTGGACATTTATGAGTAATATTACTACACGTGAAGGAAAAATAAACCAGACCTATAATGCATCGCACGCGCGCAACGCATTCTTACGTTACGTTTCCCACAGCGAGGGGCCTGTATTGAGTTGCAGGCTTATAGAGACCACCTGGATGACCTGGCCGTTGATTCTTGGAATGTGGCTCCTTTTAACCTGGAAGTTCTGTGTCTGTGAAGCAAACGGTTCCATATCTGCCAACCCGTCTCTCCGCTTGTCCACCCGCGTTCATGTTTGTACGGTTTATTAGAAAGTGGTAAAGGCGCTGCCCTGAAATTTATTTTTTAAGTCACTGCTAGCGGACTAATTGTCGAGTGCCCGTTTAAATCGCTGGGTAGACAGAAGCGACGGGATGTAATAAACTTAAACTGACCCATCGTTTTCACTGCAAGGATGTTGATCCTGCGACGTCTGTATTGCGAGTCCAGTGTGCAATACCACTCTGCTACACCACCTTGAAAATACAATTTCAAAGTATAAAGAATCCAGCAGCGATGCCGTACAACGAATTAGATGTGCGTGTTATAGGTGGCGGGCGAGGGACGAGGGGAATTATTGTTATTTATGGTGAAATGGGGAAGTTAGAAAGAGCAGGGAGCTGTGAAATATGAGTTCAGTAGTGACCCATTTCCTTGGCGGAGATGGACACAGGCGAAGGAGAAGAGGAAGATCTCAAGTCTAGGCGTGAAAAGAGGGATGGAGCCACGGGTGCAGAAAGCCAGAGGGAGGAAGGGAATGTCAGGCAGTAGAGAAGGGGCAACCGCGATAATCGTGCCCACTCCTTCTGCCCATTGTTTATCTTCTGTTTGAGTCGATGCAATGCGTGTCCAGATAATACAATTACAGCCCTTTTGTCAATCCACTGCTAGACGACGATTCTCCCAATGCCAGGATGGTCATGCGGGTGAGTAACAGGAGGGCACGGGATCACTTCAGATATCACTCGCGACTCAGGTCCATTTGGCCATCGAAGGTCACCGGGTTCATCGTGCAGTGTGTGAATTCCACCACCACCACTCCAGCACATGTGTGTCTATAATGTAAAGCTTTTTTTTTATCACGCACAATATACAAACTATTTCTTAAAGTGTAAGTTAGCTCGGGCAGATTATCCCTTGGCTGATTATAGTCCGATGACAAATTAGGTTACGGAGACGTAAAACAGATGAATAGTTACCATAGTACAAAAATGTAAACAGTGAAGGGTGAATGTCAAATGCAAGTGCGAGCGAAGTCATAATAAATAATCGACAGCTCAGCATCGAACCATGATGAAGATGGGAGATTATGCAAGGCGTTCGATTTCACGATCGTTCTGCAAATCCACACTCACTACAGAGCCTGCGATCGCTTCTCTCCTGCAAAAGAAGATTGTGGAATTAAGAGGGTTGTTAATAAATCAGAAGGGTGGTGTTGTTTTAACGATTTCTAATAGTCGTTAATTATTGTTTTAGACATTCGCGTCTGGCGATTATCATTTACGCGATCGTACCGTCGTCATGGGTTCTCCGTTTCCCTTTAAATACACAAACACAATAGCCCGAGTTAAGGTTTGCCTAATTTCAGTCACGGGCTCTCACAAAATGAACCTTTTAATAACAACGTAACAACAACGACACCCCCCTCCCCCCCCCCCCCCGACTTGGCAGAAACTTGTCAAGGGCCATAATCTAAAACAAATATCTTAGGGACTCGCCTGACTAATTCATGTCACGGGCTCATTTTTCCAATCCATTTGTTCCAATCAATCACGGAACAGTTGGTTTTAATAATTTTAAAAAAACGGGGTCAAGCAGGCAGGAGCGTTTTAATTTCAGCAACTTAAGAAAAAATATAATCGCTTAACTAGATCATTACTTACGTACGTTGGAATGCATTACTCCCATGCTGCGTCAAAATGCGGCAAAGTACAACGTAGAATATTAACTTCGCCTATGACTCCGAAACGAGAGCAAGCCGTCGTCTAAAAACATTGGTGGAGAGACGAAGAAAAAAACCGCTGGGCTTCGTGAAATCCCTCCGCCGTTTAGCCGAGTAGCACAAAAAAAGCGTAAACCGGTCACATAGAGCTGCCAGGGTTTCGGAGATTTTAAAAATATCGACGGCAAAATATTTTTGTTACGATTTGCCATCGCGACCCGTAATCGGAATGGTGTGCACAGCTCTTCTCGAACGCTCGTCTCGAATTCATCTTTACTACAAGCGAGAATTACGATGGCTCTCTCTCTCGCTCTCTCCCCTCTGCGTTTGGCTACCGTACTACGGGCGTGTCCTCGCCATCAGCCGGCGTGGCTGAAGAATAAACGAGTCGAACAGCTGATAAAATACGACGCTAATGAAAACAGTGCACGCGAAGTGAGACGTCTCTCAAACCGAGTGGGGGGGGGGGTTGGAGGGGGGGGGGTACGTTGGTCCGCACGGATCGACAATTCATAGGGGCAGAGACCGTGACTCACTAATTTACCCACTGCCAGGTTGCTTTTCGAACAGCCTTTTCACAGATGGATATTTACTTGCTGCGGTGCATGTCAGGGGGTGGAGGAGGTGGCAGAATTGTTAGCGCACTACTGTGCTATCAATCAATCAAGCCTTTATTTCTATAGCACAGTTTCGTGCAAAATATGCAATTGAAAGTGCTGTACAGATTAAATAAAACATGGTTAAATGACGAAAGCGCAAGACTAATAAAAGCAGTTTCCCTACAAACAAAATTGCATTATAATGAATTGCTATCGAAGGCATATTAAAAAAAATGACACTGAAGAATCTTAAGTAAAGGCAAGTTTAAAAAGGTAAGTTTTTAAGATTGAACTTGAAATTGCTTGATGATTGCGAAGCCCTCAGAGGCCCCCTGGCAGGTTGCTTCACAGGCGGGGACTGGACACACTCAAGGCCATCGTCCCCGTGAGATGTGATCCTGGCCCTTGCGATGACTACAAGACCGGAACCAGAGGTTCTGAGGGATCTTGTTGGTTCATATATTGAAAGCATAGAAGACGTGTATGCTGGTGCCAAACCATTCAACGATTTAAAAACCAATGAAATAACTTTTAAATTAATTCTATGACTGACTGCCAGCCAGTGCACAGTTCACTAAAGTTCAATCACGGCCAAAGCTAACAGGAATGAATGATATCCGAAACTCCCGTGCCGCATCTCAGCTCACTCACCAACCTGCCCCAACCAGCGTGAAGTATGGTCAAACAACCCGCTATGACTGGCTTATTGTGAGGAGGGCATCGACCAGCAGTGGATTGCCAACGGGCTTGTCCTTTACTGTGTCTTACCAGTCTCTGCTGACTCTGTCTTAACTCTACAATTCTCTTTGCTGCTTGTGCACAGCAAATTGCCCTTCTCTCGAACTCAGGTACTGTCCTTCCTATTCCTTCAAAAATCTCTCGGATTTCCTTCGCCTTCATTCCACCACCACCAACAGCGGCATCGCCGCACACAACTCACCGGAATCCATCCACCACCACCACCCCCGCACCCAGCCCATTTTACAAACTCGAGCTCATTTTTTGACTTTTCGTTTTGACGTTTCGATATCGGTCCGGTGGGGGTGGAGGGGCTTTCTTTCACACCTGCCACGTGCGCGCGCGAAGGCGTGAGTACGTCGCACCGCCGCCGCTCCACTCGCACCACGGCTCACGGCTTTGCAATTAAAAAGCCTCACGGTGGACGCAGGAGGGGCGAGGTGCTGTCAGGGACCCACCACATGAGGGTCACTCCTTGGCTCCCTGCGGTCGGACTGTCCCTGCCCTCCTCTCACTCCCAGCTCCTGTTGCGGATTTCCGTGTCAGACTCGCGTGGTCCACCAACCCTCATTTCCCAAAGCAATGGGACCACCAACTGAATATATTTCCCCATTTTAAGCGTAGCTCAGGGCACTTAAAAGCCAGACGGAAGCTGATATTTGTTAACCACGTGTTTTTGTTGGTAAGTCTTGCTTTGTGTCAATCTAAGATTCTACGGACTCCCCTGCCTTGGCCATTGACATCGGCCTCCAATCCCGTGCAGCCGAAACCCATCGCCAACATCGCATGCCCTTGCTTCACCATTCCATCTCATCGCCTCCAATTCGGTTAACTCGGTCATCTCTTTCGTAGCGCAACCTCCTCCTCACCAACACAAAATAAACTCTCGATCGGGATGTGCGAGTGCATTTCAAGTAAAGTGTGCGTGCGCGCGTGTGTGCGAGATTTCAAACAACCGCGGCTTCAAAAGATTTAACAAATGAACAGCTGACGGCACAAGGAGGTGTAAGGGAAACTGTTATTTTATAGAGTCAATGAAAGCAAACCGAGCAGAAAGGCATTTTTTTTTATTTGGTCATAAAACCCTCCAGGGTTTTTTTTGTTTGAAAATGCCAAGCGAGCTGTCTCTGCGTGTTCCTTTCTTTCACATTTAGAATGAGTAATCGCAGCACGTGTAAGGGTCTCCAATGTGGGGTGTTTTTTTTTGTTTCGGGGGCGCCTGGGATACCTCCCTTTTCAGCTCGCGTTGCGAAGTGTCACCCACACCCGCACGGCCGCTTTTACAGCTGCGAGCGGTGAGGAAACCTTCGGGAGGTCACGGCGCAGGGACACCCCGTGGAGTTCCACTTCGTGTCGAGGGGGTGGGTGATGAGGGGGATGTCACAGGGACTGGTGGAGCTGGGGGGTGGGTGCAAAGCGAAAACGTCGGCCGTGGTGAAGGAGAGCGACGGACGTTTGGGCGATTTTGCCGCGGAGGTGCCGAGTGCCGGGATGATCGGCCCAAAAAACGCACCGCTGGACGCGCCGAGCCTGATGTCAGCCGACAACATCCTAGCGGTGTCGGCTGACATGAGGCTCAGCGCGTTGGGCGTTGTCCGCGGAGAAGAACGCCACACCGCATCGCTCGGTTTAAGGCAGCGGCTCTTAACCTTGACTGCAGCCTTTCACCCCTTTGGTTCTCAATCGTAAATAAATCTGTAATATGTTAATAAATACATAGGGTTTGATGAAACAAAGTAAATTGTGCTTACGTGCCTGTGCTTAATTTGCGTTTTCGATTATTTACCTTCGAAAATAAAATCTGGCCACGTCTCGCACCCCCAGAAGAGGCATTTCGGCACCGCCAGTGAGTTGCGTGCACCCCAGGTTAAGAACCACGGGTATAAGCAGAGAGAAGTTTGACTTTTACGTGAGATGTTTCACGTTATACTACAGTGGGGGCCGAAGCAGTAAAATTGCTGGAAAAGAGAAAAAAGGAGAAGGGAAAAACCCCCCGTTCGTCATTCGTTGAGCCGTAACATCCGCTAGCAGATGCGCTCGGTGACCGTGACTGGTCAAATGAGGCCAACAGCCCCACTCCCACGCCGTCTTTATCACACAAACACACACACGGACAGACAACGAGCCCACGGAGCTCTCTCCCCGTCGCTCAGTTGATGGCAATGCTTCATTTTGTTAATTGTCGGTTATCGCTTGCAAGGAATGCGTGAACTTGAATGGCAGGAACAGTGTAAACACAAAAACAATCTATAGGTGTAAAAATGTAAGATTCTGCTAGCGGCATCATTAATGAGACACCGATGCCAAGTATCAATTTGGAACTTGCAGAGCAAGGGATCGTAATTGTGTTAGATAATAGCCCGCTGAAGGAGATATCAAAGAACCGCTTCTGAAATTCCTTAAAGGGATTGTTTTTCTCATCTACGCACTAGGGGGCGCACTTTCCCAATGTTCCGCTACAAATCAATGCTTTGTTCGATGGCAGTCAAACCAACAAATATAATTCGCAGAACTGTAAAAATTTAGAGATTTGAGACGTTTTTTGTACGGTAGTTCTAGTTAAGGAGACTTGCAAACCGCCAAATAAATGCATTTAGGATGCAGTGAATTTGTTTTAAGTTGAAATGGTCTACCCGCAAAAATTGTATCCGATTCCATGTATAATCATGGCACTACTATAATAACAACAACAGTGTGTAAAGCACAGCACACAAGACCAGAAACAGCAGGAGTGGACGTCCGAGCAAAGCAATTGCGATTTGAAAAACGGGATTAAAAAAAAAACATTCCAAACAATTCTGAATAGAGATTGCAGTCATTTGTATTTTGAACCAACCCCAAGATCATTGTCAACGCGCGTGCGTTCGCGACAAAAATCAACACGACAAAACTATGGGGCGCGTGACTCGCGCGCGCGCGCGTATCTCTCTGTTGTCGCTGCAGAAACCGTACGCCTGCCAGATCCCGGGCTGCAGCAAGCGCTACACGGACCCCAGCTCCCTGCGCAAGCACGTCAAGGCGCACTCCGCCAAGGAGCACCACACCCACAAGAAGGTAGCCCCGCCCCCGCCAAGGAGCACCACACCCACAAGAAGGTAGCCCCGCCCCCGCCAAGGAGCACCACACCCACAAGAAGGTAGCCCCGCCCCCGCCACGGCCACCGCCGCCGCCGTCGCGCGCGCCCACAGCAACCTTCCGCCCTCTGTACCGAGCACTCGCCCTGCGCTGCCCGCGGTCCCTTGGTTTTACGTTCGTAAGCGCGTGCACGAAGCAGGAACACGTTTACAGGCCACGCCGTAGAGATAGGAATTTCAAATAAGCTACAGTGGATGTCAGGTGCTTGTGGGAGGGGGGGGGGTATCGTCAGATTATTGTGGCCTAACCAGAAAAAATATGTACTGTATTGTGAATCAGCCAGTCCCCAGGGGTTTGTCTTCAACAAACGTTGCTGCAAAACACTGGTTCAGAGGACTCATTGTTTTGATAGACTTTGAAGTTAATATTTATATAGGAAATCAAACGGATTCCTCCTCATTAAATGTGCAGCAGCACTGGAAAGGGTCAAGAATATCTTTGTCATATCTATAGACGAATTAAACAAAATGTCAAGGTTGAAAATTGATTAACCAGTTTGAAAATAAATGTACTCATCCCCCCCCCCCAAAAAAAAAACGTCCCTTTTAAACTCATTCACATGAATGCCCCGTTTTTTAAGAGAACGTTAATTAATGATTGATAATTGCTGATGATAACGAATCAGTCTTGCACCATATTGACTGGCTGTCAAAAACCTGCCATCAAACCGACCCACAGGAACATTATTTAATGTCCAGCGTCACATTGTGCACAAAACCTCCTTTGAGAGTAATACCTGGAGACATTAATCTCAAAGTCCCACCGGCTACTGGATTAAACTTTATTTGAGGGATTAAACAATCCCATGTTTCCACTTATTTACTTCATATAACTAGAATTTGCTCAAGCAGCACACACAAAACACCCTTTGGAGAAGTCTAAATAACATGTACCGCACACTGTGGGCAAAACTTAAACCAGTCTAATGATGCAATATTTCTCTTTCGGTTGAAATATTTTTCATATTTTCCTGGCTTGTGGATTCCAGCGCTGCCAGCCTTCAGTGCCGCATGCCAAGCTAGACACAGACCCAGAAGCTGCTGCCCATGAGCAAATGCTTCCTGCTTATGTCCGTAAATCCTCCCTCACTGCCTTCAATCAAAACTGCTGGCTTGCTCGCCGCTGCTAGAGAAACGAGAGGGGGTTTCAGTGAAATCTCCGTTAAAAAAAAGGCATTTAAAGTAATGCGAAAGCCGTTCGTCGGCCAACACAACTACCCCATTTTCCTCTCCGATCAGTTTTTGGCTTGGACCGTCCCGTTGCTCGGCACGATGTCCGACGTTTCACTCCATGCGTTGGGGAGCTCTTTCAGTCGCCTCTCTTTCCTGAACACGCTTTTTATCCCCAATCCTTAAGTTCGAGATCCTGAAGAAGCTCCCCACAGCACGTGGAGGGGAAAAAACGTCGGACATCGTGGCAAACAACACCACCAGAAAAAAAAAACACATCGGAGAGCTGTGCAGCACACAACCCCTGAAAACCTACGCTGTAATGTTACCCCGTTTTGCGTAATTGCGATAGGCGCAGGTGCGTGCGCTTATTCACCTGTGAATGATACGATGCGCCCCCCCCCTCCCCCCGCCCGCCCCCCTTCGCCGGTAACATCGCATCTCCATGGACAGCGAGAGCTCTCTGTGGAATAGGCTTTATTTAGTCCGGACCTCAGCGCAATGATCACAGCGCGCACGTCTTTGGTTTCCAATACTGTAATTTCAACATGATGCTTCACATGTACCGCGCCGCAACATTGCGGTACGGTCGGCGCCTGCCGAATTAAACCCTGTGAAATAGAATGCTCCGCTACGTGATGGTGTCCAGGCTGGCTTGCAAAAATGAATATCCCCTCTTGTGCATGGGATTCTGCGGGCGCTTCCGATTTCTCCGAGAGAAAAAAAAACAAAAACACTCGTTCAGAACTCGGCCAAACCATCCAACCTAGAACCCTCATGCAGGAGACTCCTGAGAATTTTGGTGAGGCTTTCGCGGATAAATGAAGAGCATTGTTGCTAAGAGCGCATGGCTACTACGATGGGACTTTCACACAGCGTCCACCCCATAATAGCAGCAGCATCAATTGGATTTTCAGAGCATATAATGCCACTGCACGTGGAGATACTGAACGGAAAGGGTGGAAAAACAACACACCATTCAAACAAGAAAATAGGTCTTTTGATTTAAAGCTTTCGTGACTGCAGGGATTCATATTCTTGGTTCTTTCGGTAAAGTCACGTAGAAGGGAAACAATAAAATAATAAAAATATAAAATAATAAAATTCTCACGACGTTTCGACTGCAACACAAGCAATCATCATCAGATGTGAAAACCACAGCAAGGATTTTTTTATCAAATTTTCTTGTTGTGGTTTTCACACCTGATGATGATTGCTTGTGTTGCAGTCGAAACGTCGTGAGAATTGTATTGTTTTATATTTTTATTATTAGATTGTTTCCCTTCTACGTGACTTTACCGAAAGAACCAAGAATAAGAAAATAGGTCCTTGAGTCGATGACGGAGCTAGGGCAGGCCCAGGGATAGACTCTGCCCCACCGACAGAACTGCAATCAGCCTGCGATCCACCGATCGCTTCAGAACTGGGCAGTTAATCCAGGACTTGACCATAGTATCCATGACTCCCCCCACCTCCACCTACTCACTCCCTCTCTCTCTCTCTCTCTGTTTGTCCCCTTCCTACCCTCACCGTTTCAACCGTTTCCCATCCCGCCCGGCTTCCAGCTGCGGTCTGTGCTGGGGGACGAGCAGGAGCCGCTGGGCGAGTGTCTGTCCGCGCAGGGGCTGCACCTGGGCATGGCGACATCGTCGGAGCGCTACGACACAAGAGGGGTGGCGCTGGGCGACTCGCACCACCTCAACCAGGGTGAGTGGAGTTGCACGCTGGGCAGCGAACTACTTTATTTTTTTTCATCTTTCTCGAATGTGGCATTTTTTTTATATTTTAAGGACGCGACCTGGGCTTGGCTGTCTTCACTCCAACGCTGTCCTCTGGACAGTCCGGTCCCTTCACCTGATGAAGGCCACTTGTGCTGTGGCCGAAACGTCGTGATTTTTTTGTTATTTTATTTTTACCTACGTGACTTTACCGAATAGAACCAAAGAGTATGAGGTTGGAGTTGCGTATCGTTTTGGAAGGGATATCATCTCTTTATCGATGAATGCATCTCGAACCGCTTTCGCACCGTACCTAGCCAACCCGTGCTCTACGTAAGTGCGGGGAAAGGACAACAAACTAAACAGAAAAATGAGTTCTAAACAAATGAGTTTTCAATCTCTATTTAAAAGTGTATAGCCCCAGTGGCTGCCTTTTAACACATTTCCTGTGATACATGTAGAGCGTTTGTGATCATACCATGGGGGGGGGGGGTTTATATTGTTTTTATTTCACTAAACATAAATAGGAGTGGAATTGTTTTCATGTGCAGCCTTGTGTACATGAGATGCAGATATCAGATTTAATTCTGACTCATTTGAGAGATGAGCACCTAGCTCTTTGGGTTCTATTTTTACTTCAACCTGGGCCACTTAGATCCTACAGTAACTTTATAACCAGGTGCGAGCCATTGGGACAAAGTCTCTTTTTGAAAGCGAGACTCGGGATACAAATCATAAATGTGCAGCAAATAATAATCTTAGTACAGACGAAATTAATAATGATGACACGGTTCACTTTTTGACTCCAGACTAATAAGGGATGTTAAAAAACGCAATTTGCAACCTGTTTAGTTCTTTACTTAGTGCCGGTGCAATGGTTAGCGAACCGCACTACGAATCTGATGACCTGAGTTCGATACCTGGCCATGGAAATATCAGCGTTGAATGAGATCTGAACCGGTCCCGGATCCGCCAGCTCCCTTCACCATCCCATACCACGAAGTCTCGGTGATGTCACCATGGCACTCGTACCATGCTAGGTGCACTTTGAAGCCACGTAAAGTGTCGAAGGCCCGCTGGCAGGAGGTCACGGAACAGACCCAGCAGGTGCCATGGGTTGACTGACTGAGATGACCAGTCACGTGTGGTCAAACAATCTTTACGACTGACACAGAAATGGATTGCTACGGGTTTTTAAAGTACACACACCTGTATAGTGCCATTCGTACGGCGAATAATGTTCTGGAAATTTGATAGGACGACGGCATATGTACGTACACGCCAATCCAGTGCCACCACGTGATTCATTAAAAGTTAATTGGTCATACTTCACCACGCTGGCGAGTACAGGTTGAAGGCTGGGAGCATAGATGTTGAGGCACAGTACAATATAACTGTGCGGTAAAGAGTTCTTATTCGAAATGCGCCTCATTGAGTCCACGCCATTTGAGTGGGTATGTCAAATATTAACCTTTCATGCCTGAGTCTTTCGGAAAAAAATAACAACCTGGGCTCTAAACATAACCCTGGTACATCATAATCTGCACTTAATTATTTCAAAATGAGGCGAGCCGTTAATTGCACGATTATACCCAATTAGGCCTCAACGGAACAATTAACCACACCTCGATCATTAGCGAAATAGGCTTAATTTGGCCGTTTGTTTAAAAAAAAAACACGTGACCGATATTGTTGCAGCTCTTAAAGCGGTAAAAAATATATATAATCAGAGGTAGGAGTTGCCACTTTGGTATCAGCCGTGAGGAGGGCAGCAGGGAGTATTGGTGATTTCCAAAATGTCCATGGTGATTTCCAAAACGTTTAAGGTTTTTCATCGGAGTCCGTGATGATTACCGATCAATCACCTGAGGCCCGGCTCGTGATAAATAACCCTCGTTGTTGCGTTTGTGTTCCACTGACATGAATGTGGGCTTTGACTTCACCACACCGACCAAAAAATAAACACAAACAGTAAATTATAAAATACGCTCGCTGCACATGAGGTTACAATAACAAAAGGAGGAACCATATCGTAAAACAAACCATTACAATTCTCGTTATGATACGGTTAGCGGCAGATACATTAATCATGAAGCAAAACAGAGCTACGTTTTAAAAGAACAATCTGGCTCCTGATGAACTGCACTGGCACTGAAACCCAAGGCCATGGTGGCAGATTTACTGCCTGGCCTCAACCACCACAGACATTGAACTCATAACCTCCTGAGCTGACAGGCAATTTATGAATAGTATTTGCCCTAGGCTGCGATTCTACCAATTTCTACTCAATTCTTTGCAGGTGCTACAAATGCAAAAGGCATTTTTTTGTTTCGCTCGTCGTTCTGCAAAGAGAACGAATTCGATTCGACCATAAAACATAGACACAGATGCCTACGTACAAAATATTATTTTTACGACGCTTGCATCTAACTAAAAAAAAAAGCCGGGCTAGAGGTTGACCGTGCAATGGGTGCAAATGCGTGCCTAAAGGGAGATATTCTTTCAGATGTCTGCGTCAAAAAGGAGACATTTCATACAAAGGCTGCAAGGCAGAATTATTATAAACGGTTCAGATGTCCACATGGCAGTTGCCGCGGCTGCCCCTTCAACCTCCTCACACATTTTATTCATCTAGATCCGCACTCACTCCCAAAACTGCCCCCCCCCCCAAAAAAAACTGCGTGTGAAACTGTAACCCTTTTGTAAACCGAGCCTTATTTGTATTTATAAACATATAATTTCAGCCATTCTCAATCCACCAACAGATGAAGGAAAGCTTCCCCCACACCATGTCGGTCATGGTTATCTCTTTTTTAACTATACTTTACCATGCTGGTTAGTTTGAGTTATTGAAGGGGTGAGGTGGGGGGGGGGCAGTATGGCCAGACCAGTTCTCATATCACTTGCCATGGCTGAGAATCGAACTCAGGTCGCCGGGTTGAAAGCACAATGCGCCAGAGGCAGATACAGAAACGTATCTCGCCATCGCCTCCCCTCGGGTTCGGCAGTTGCAGCGTACTACCCATTGCACCGCCGCTTGTACCCGAACGCCGCGTATATATAACCTGTGTCATGGAGAGATAGCGGTGATTTTCACCCTGCCATCGGAATTATTTCACAATGTCGTCACCAGCCGTGGCCCATCATTGGACATGAGCGCTGCTCAATAGCCGTTGAAAGGTGGTGACATTATTTAAGCTGAAAAATATTAGTATTGCTCACATTAAAAAAGGGAACACTTCCAACAAGAGGGTTGTGGAATTACGAGGAGGAATGGGAATGGGAAGAAGCCAGATGGGCAGCAAGGCAAGATGGATGGGGGGCGAATTAGCAGAGCTGTTAAAAATGCGGCGCACGTGGTTAGAAACTTAAAAGTTAACCCAACCCAGATTCGCGTGGGAGAAATTGATCCCGTTCAACATGCGGACGACGAAGACGACGCATCGAAATGTTCCCGTGCCTATACGCGCGCTGGGTAATATCCTGGTTTTAAAGTAACGTCAGCATGTTGCCAATTCGCGTGGCTTTGCCATTTTATTTTTTTAAATCATGTTGTGTTGCATTTGCCCTTCCCCAGAGGTGCGCCTGTAACATCTATCTTTGTTTTGTTTAAGTTTATAAAGATGTTTTTTTTGTGTGTGTTATGTACAGTATCTTCTCTGCGCTCGCACCACAGCACACTCCACTGTCTCCCCACTGGGAAATCACGAGTGCTCTGTTGTGTTTGAGTACGCCGTATACATTTTTTTTCGCTTTTGTAACCGCAAGGACTGGGGGCATTAAAAAATATAGAACATGTGTAGGTTGTGTCTCCCAAAAATGCAGTGTTATTTTTTTTGGTACATGTAATGCACAAATGACAAGATGCATTGCAGACCATCATTTCGCGGGTCAGAGGGCAAGATAGCAAAGTCATGCTCTAAATAACACGGACGTCTTTACAGCCAGAACAATTGCCGTCAGCCGCGAGCCAACAAACGTTTCAAATCAGTCTTTTTTTCGTCGAGAAAGTAAAACGTGCATGCCAACAGCATTTAATCAGCTTCTCTCAAATATGCGTTGAAATATCATTGATACAACTTAACGAGACGTATCATGGATGGGTTGGGTAAACGGAGAGCTGACGTCAAGACAAATCACAAGTCTGGCTGGCTGGCTTGGCGGAGTGGCTGTTAAATTGTCAGGCTAGGAATATTAATGGCCGTGTTAATAATCACCGGTGTCAGTGCTCCGAGCAAGCAGTGTGGGCCAGTCTCTTTGGTTAAGACTTTGATTACAGTGACGTTAATTACTGCGATTGTGCTTGAAAATACTTATCGACCGCACGCAAAGTGAAGCAGATGAGAGGCGGGCGTGAAGAGGAGGAGGAGACCAATGCAGTGTATCAGCCACCTCTCACTCATTACACGAAGCATTGCATATCCGATGTTCTACACAATCATTTACAAGCGTCTTGGTGCCTTACAATGCAATGCAGCTCTCCAATAAACCATCGGCATTTCTAAATTCATGAAAGTTCGGCGGTGTCTGCGTTCTCTGGGCGGACACTGCTCATGCGACAAGGCCATGAAGGATGGCTGTCTCTGGCGTAGGCCAATCAGTTGCAAAGACAATGCCATGTATTATATTATCAGAGCGTGTTTGTTTGCATGTTCACCACAAGCACGTGTCGTTAATGCAGTAAACTCGATTCCTTTGCAAGAGGTTTCTATTTTGGTGTGTGAACATCTTAACACCTGTTTTGTTTTCAGAAACGACAAAAGCTCTTCTTATTTTTTCATACTTTGATACTGGCAAAAAAGGTCCGAAAATATAAGCGTTTTTTTTACGCTGTGCACTGTTCTCGATACTCGACTAGTTTTGGGCATTGAACGATGAACAATTACAATTGTAAATGTGGCCAAGCCCCTGGATCAATGAGCCTCAAGCAATAATTATAATGGGTACATCCCAAGAATTCTACACATGCTTTAATCCGGCTGTTATTACATTTTCGGTGTATATGAATACGGTATACGTGTGTGTGTAATACGGTATACGTGTGTGTGTAATACGGTATACGTGTGTGTGTGTGTAATACGGTATACGTGTGTGTGTGTAATACGGTATACGTGTGTGTGTGTAATACGGTATACGTGTGTGTGTAATACGGTATACGTGTGTGTGTATGCAGTAAAAGCACGAATATCAATGAAAAGTAACAGATGGCACTAATACTAATAAGTATCTGCCTGGATGTTGCAATGTCATAACGTCACGCATGTTGTTTTTCGTTCACTCGCCGATGATCACCTCTGGTGGTTGAATCAGCCGAATCCAGCGTTTTCATTCGGAGTCACGTAAAAGCCAATTCAATCACGAACTGCTAAGTTTCAAGGGTGGCCTTGTTGTGAAATGGCACATTTTATACTGGTATCGAACCGTTTATTTATCTAGGAGAGCATCCCTGACTCTAATGACTCATTTTCAGGAGGATCCTGCACTGGGATATTTGTTCGATTCCATTGTAATGAGCGTTTGGCTTTACGTGGCAATGCAACGGTGATACCGTACCAAATAACCATGCATAATACCGTCCGGGGGCGGGTTTGTGGGGAGGGAGACACACTAAGGTCCACACAGATGGGTTCGTGAATTGCTGTGCAGTACCGCCATCTCCCTCTAGCGCTCCCTCTAGTGGAGACCCTTCCGACAGCAGTGGCCTGAGCAGACCATTGCAGGGCTGCGCCTTCGCCCATTGCCCTGCGCGTTGTCTGACCGCTCGTTTCCCAGGAATGTTTGTGTCCAACATGAGCTCGGCGGTCACGGGCGTGCCTTCCGGGACACAGCGTCCAGCAGCGCAGCAGCAGCAGCAGCACCACATGCAGCAGCAACACCCGCAGGTGTCAGCACTGCACCCTCGAGATGAGCGGAGAGACAGGTGAGGGACTGCGGGAGGGAATGTTCCGCATAATTGGAATCTTTATTTAGAATGGAGGAATCCGGATGAGCTATGAAGCAGCTACGAAACAGATGGTCCGGTATGGGCGGGTCAGCAAGTCGCAACGGCAAATATTAATGTACAGCAGCACATTATGATATTCGTCATGTTGAAAAATTATTTCTTTCGAATTTCTTTTTGTGTTTCGTTTTGTTGTCCTTCCCCCGCACCTCCGATTAGCACGGTCGGCTACGTACGGCGCGGAAGAAGTTCAACATACTGTACATTTACAACACGTGCCTCGATGGTTGAGCACGCCTTGAGATATTAGTGGAAGGCGCCCTACAAATAAATGTATATTATTACTGCCAAGAGGTCATGCAGGCCAGACCCAGTGTGGGCCGCGAGGGCAAGTGAGCCAGCCAATGACCCAATAATGAGAATTTATTTTAGCAGAGGTCATTAGAAATAAAAACTAAAATAGGATTTGGATAGCATTACAATGCAACTGAATCTCAAGGTGCTGCGTAGTATAGTGGGACGTGCTTCATGGGGGGGGGGGGTGAAATGGAGGAATATGTTATTTTAAATAAATAGATGGCTTTAGATGGAGGATAAATGTCTTGACACTGGAATTGAGTCTCCAGTAGTGTCACTGGAAGTCACTGCACTGCTAAATCAACGTGTAGATACCCCATAAACAGACCAATTAAAGTGAAAGGTTGTCATTTTAACATGTTGAACGCAGTAAATTTAGCGACATCACGTGCATCCTTTTTCCCAAATGTCGCATTCTTACACCGCCTTTCTCCGTGCCACCCTGCCGCCAGATTTGCCCCACCCACGCCGTCTCCCCACCACATCAGCCCCGGTCGGGTACCAGCAGCTCCCCCGCAGATGCACCGGCGAACGCCCCATCAGGGCTTGCAGCCTCACCAGCAACAGCACCAGCACCAGCCCCTGCAGCACCACCAGCACCACCAGCAACAGCATCACCAGCAGCAGCCTCATCACCTGCCACCCCTCGGTTCGCCCGACTTTACGGGCATCTCGGCTGCAGGCCACACTCACAAGGGCTACGCCAACACGACGCCTCCGTGCCATCCGCCCAGCACCTCCTCACCGGCCACGTCTCACTTGCACGGTGCGCCACGAGCGCTCGGTCCTCTCTCTCTGGCTCGCTCGCCTCGCTCTCTCTGGCTCGCTCGCTCCGCTCTCTCTGGCTCGCTCGCTCCGCTCTCTCTGGCTCGCTCGCTCCGCTCTCTCTGGCTCACTCGCTCCACTCTCTCTGGCTCACTCGCTCCGCTCTCTCTGGCTCGCTCGCTCCGCTCTCTCTGGCTCACTCGCTCCGCTCTCTCTGGCTCACTCGCTCCGCTCTCTCTGGCTCGCTCGCTCCGCTCTCTCTGGCTCACTCACTCCGCTCTCTCTGGCTCGCTCGCTCCGCTCTCTCTGGCTCCGTCGCTCCGCTCTCTCTGGCTCACTCGCTCCGCTCTCTCTGGCTCACTCTCTTCGCTCTCTCTGGCTCACTCTCTTCGCTCTCTCTAGCTCACTCGCTCCGCTCTCTGTGGCTCACTCGCTCCGCTCTCTGTGGCTTGCTCGCTCCGCTCTCTCTGGCTGGCTCACTCGCTCCGCTCTCTCTGGCTCACTCGCTTCGCTCTCTCTGGCTCACTTACTCGCTTCGCTCTCTCTGGCTCACTCGCTTCACTCTCTCTGGCTGGCTCGCTCGCTCTCTGGCTGGCTGGCTCACTCGCTCCGCTCTCTCTGGCTCACTCGCTCGCTCTCTCTGGCTGGCTCGCTCGCTCTCTGGCTGGCTGGCTCACTCGCTCCGCTCTCTCTGGCTCACTCGCTCGCTCTCTCTGGCTGGCTCGCTCGCTCTCTGGCTGGCTCACTCGCTCCGCTCTCTCTGGCTCACTCGCTCGCTCTCTCTGGCTGGCTGGCTCACTCACTCGCTCTCTCTGGCTGGCTCGCTCGCTCGCTCTCTGGCTGGTTGGCTCACTCGCTCTGCTCTCTCTGGCTCACTCGCTCGCTCTCTCTGGCTGGCTCGCTCGCTCGCTCGCTGGCTGGCTCACTCGCTCTGTGCTCTCTCTGGCTCACTCGCTCCACGCTCTCTGTCTCTCTCTGGCGCGCGCTCGTTCAACGATTTCAAGCGCTGCCGTCGAGAGGATGGCGCGGGGTGGGGGTGGGCGGGCGGCCTGCTGATAATTAAATAATAATCAAACTCGTTTTGAGGGGGCCGCGGCCACCACTATTACTACCATCAAAGCATGGCGACCAAACACGCAAAAGATATTGACAAGTGTAATTGTGATCAAACTAAATCGTTTAGGGCAACACGTTTTTCTTTGTTTGTTATCTTTATTGTTTAGCACTGGGGCCTGATGGCCAGACGAATCATTCTGCCAGACCGAGTCCTCAACGTGGGTGGAGGAGTCAATCAATCTTTATTATTACGTGTCAATATCGCCCTCAGTGAAGGGGGCGTGAGTACACATTGCAGCGGAACGGTACCGGTCGGGCACGGAGCAGCAGGAATGACAAACGAAACCATCACGACCTCAGCGCCTAACACCGACTGGGCAGAGCAAAATTGCAACCGCGAGCTTAACGAATAGCATAAGAAAATTAACAATAAGTTAAAACAACAAGGGTTGTTATTTCCCCCTTCTCACAAGGAATCATTGAGTCAAGTGCATGGGAACATTTTTATTTAAATTTTGATTTAAAGCTTTCGTGACTGCAGGGATTCATATTCTTGGTTCTTTCGGTAAAGTCACCACGTAGAAGGGAAACAATAAAATAATTAAAATGTAAAACAATAAAATTCTCACGACGTTTCGACTGCAACACAAGCAATCATCATCAGGTGTGAAAACCACATGGGAACAGTAACCATGGGAGCTGAGATAGTAAAGCGATAAGGAGGTGAAACAAGCGAAGCTATCCGCTCGTGTTGTCACGGTGGACAAAAAGTAAAAAAAAATCGTTGAGCGCCGTTTGCGCTGCCAACCCTTGGCGCTGTCGCGTCACTCGAATGAAACAACGACGAGCAATGACGATCGCTGAGATTACACCCTTGGACTTGTGCCCCGACTTCCATTAAAGCAGATCGCCGCCCTCAAGTCTTTGAAGCGCTATGCGATTCCCGGCCAAGCGTTTCCTGCCCCCCCCCCCGGCGCGTCACTCCCCATCCCCATAGCTCATCCCCATCGCTCATCCCCATCGCTCATCCCCAGCGCTCATCCCCATCGCTCATCCCCAGCTCTCATCCCCATCGCTCATCCCCAGCGCCCGAGTAGCGTCATCCGTAATCTGCGTGGGGCACTTCCCCGTGTCTCGCTCGCGCGCTGCAGACGACGACGGCGACCACCAGCGTGTAGCTGCCTTAAATAAATAACGTCCGATTTCAGCAAAAAAATATTGCCAGGAGGGGCGTAATCATTTAACTTGCAGATTATTTCTAGACACGGGTGTTTATATGTTACGTGATATGCATTGTTTTTTTGCATATATATAGCGTCTCTTCAAGCCAGGTTCCTTGATGTGGACGTCTTTTGCTATCGCCTCGGCCACTCTGGAGAGCGTTGGCGCCCACGTGCGAACCACGTCAAGAAATATTGGCAAGCGGAGTTAATAAAATAATGAAAACAGGTTCCGTCAAGCTTGCAGGCTAAATGTATTTCGGCTGAGCGATAATATCTCAAGCCATGGGTCATGCACAATAAATTGATCAGTCAGCTCTGACAGCTCGAGCAAACTTTAAAATGTTTTCTCTTTGCCACAGCCAAAAGAACGTGGCTGGATTTGTGTATCTGTGTGATTAAGACATAATTAAATTCCTGCACGCTGCCCGGGACTTAAAGCCCACAGCAATTGCTTCATCGCTGACGTCAGTCAAGTCTGCAGTCGAAATATAATCTTTTAAAAAAAGCGTTTTAAAGTGCGCACATGCGATTCGTACCATTAGCGATTCCAAGTGTCCCTGCGACAGCATTCCTGCGTGCGATCCGATATGCCCTTGGCATGTTTCACGTTTAACTGCCAGCTTTGTTGTTGTTGCTGCTGCTGCTGTTAAACGATGAAACACAATCGGCTTGACGTGGGACAATAAAAGTCGTAGCAGCACCTGTGATTCGCGCTCATTTACGAGCACGGTTATTCCACGTAGGAGGAGGCGCTTATAATGTTTTAGGCCGTCGTGTTACACGGCCCACTGTGTGGGCCAGCGCTCGGTGTCTTCAGTAATAGCAGAGGTAGAGCGCCACATTGCCGTCACATCGCTCTCATGTTCGGTCGTCAAGTTCCCAATTACGTCAGGATGAGTTTAGTTCAATTTCCCGACAGACGGGGGGGGGGGGACGGGGGGGGGCGAGAGCCAATTCGGTTGAAGGGATGTATGTATACTCTAGATTTGAAGTTTTCGTGACTGCAGAGATCGTCGTTGATTTAATTTATTTTATTTTATACCTACGTGACTTTACCGAAAGAACCAAAGAGTTTGTATGTATGTATGTTGACCTTATTTCGCACCGTACGTAGCCAGCCGTGCCTATCGGAGGTGCGGGGGGGGGGGGGGAAGGAGAACAAACTTATAGCAAAAAGCAGTTCTCAAGAAATGCATTTTCAATCGAGAGAAATGAGTTTTCAATCTCGGCTGTGTGTCATGCTTAACACTGCAATGGGTACCGTCCATCAATATTTGACATACAACATCTTCTTACAGCGGTTTGGACAATTCCCTGCTGTAAAGACGGCCTCCCCATGCCGCCTTTGTCAAGATGGTCGTGGAATGTGATGACAGTGGCTTCTTGGTCAGCATTTGCACCACGAGACGGTGCACATGCAGCCCACGTGGATTCTCTGGAGAACTGATCTGGCGGAGCGCAGCACTGGTGCATCATCATTATCACCATCGTCGTAACAATTGATCACAATTCATCATCACTGCCCGTTGCCTTCAGCTTACAATCTTCAACCCACCTGCGTGCATCACCTGAGACTGGAAACACCCCATGGCACGGTTTGTTGCTTCCACAACCTGAAGCTCTGAGAATCTACGGACCTTTGTCCCTGACCTATATTTTAGTTTGCCTAAAACGTGTCCGTATTGTTGCAATTGTTGGAGCCGTGTGTGTGCCCGTGACCCCCGGTATAAAACATACACATATATATGTCTCGCTCTCTCTCTCTCTTCTTTTCTGCTGTTGTCTCCGTCCAGGTTACGGAGGCAACATCTACTCTATGTCGTCCACGCACGGCCTGGCCGAGTCGTTCCAGCGCGCCAGCCCGTGCAGCCTTTCCTACGACGAGCTGCCACCCGGTGGCCTCTCGGGAGGGTTCGATGTCTTCCAGCGAACCCTGTCGGCCCACGCAGGTGACCAGCTCGTGGCCCCGCGTGGAACTTCGAATTGTCTCGCGAGAATCCACGCTCAGTTTGTGCACCATTTCTCCTGAATAATGTTCTGGCTGAGTTGTTCATGTCATCATCATCGACATCATCATCTACATCATCTACATCATGAGCAACATCATCTACATCATCAGCAATAGCAGCCTGAGTATTCTTTTTCTACCCATTGCTGGGTAGAGACCTCCCCAAAACCAACGACGAAAACCTCGTTAATTTTGGGCTCTGAAATCTTGACTTAAAACTTTCGTGACTGCAGGAATTGATGTTCTTTGGGTCTTTCGATAAAGTCACGTAGGTATGTTCAAAGAAAACGAAACGTCGTAGTTGTATTTTTTTTACTTTCTTTGAACCATCTACGTGACTTTACTCTGAAATGTTTGTTGCGAAATCACATCAATTTTGGAGGGTCCCAGTGATGAGCTTTCGTTGATTTGCGCGGCACTCTCAGCAGTGTCCTTCTTTTATATCCACGTTTTTTTTTCTGTGGGAGGTCGCTCAATCTCCTCTGCTGTCCCCAGGTCTGGAACTTATTTCCCCCCAGCCATCCGTGCTGTCGACTCCCTGTTTAAGTCCAGACTCATGACCTTCCCGTTTACTTTGGCTCACTACTGACTGCCTCTCTCCATAAAATAAATATTCCCACCGTTTCTGTACAGTGTCTTGGCTGCCCATCGCATGTTCGGTGCTGCACAAACCCACGTTTTATTGTATTGTGATCGTATCGCTTGCAACAGATTATCAGGCTGACATTCCTCGGCTGTGGCGTTATCAGGTATCGGCCGCAAAAAAAGTAAAAATCGTGCACGAACGGAACGTATCAAAGATCTGCGCAGCTCAAGACCGAAATATTCCCACTCGCGGGGAAATTCTGAGAATAACAAAACCGTGAGCTAATAACCAATTACAGTGCCACTCCGAAAACCACCAAATACACGCACGCCCTGAGAAAACTAATGCGGTCGCTGTGCGCGAGCCGGCTGGCCCCTGGAACTGCGCACACACACACACATACGCACACACACAGTCACGCACGCACACACACATACACACACACACATACACACACACAGTCACGCACGCACACATACACACACAGTCACGCACGCACACACACATACACACACACACGCACGCACACACACAGTCACGCACACACACATGCACACACACGCACGCACACACGCACGCACGCACACACGCACACACGCACGCACGCACACACACGCACACACACACAAGCACGAGCCGCCGGTGCCAGCACGGCCGCCCATTGCTGGGCTCGTCCCAGCTGCAGCCAGGGCTCGGGGCAAGTGGGAAACCTGGCACGGTGCCGGCCGTAATGCAGCGCAGCGAGTCCGACACGAACAATCCCTCCTCGCTCCGCGGGCGCCGCTAGCCCAGTATGCAGGCGGGAGGGGGTGGCAGAGGGGTGGGGGGATAAGGGGAGGGGTGAGGGGGTTGGGAGAGGGAGGGGAGCCGTCCAAGACAATAAATGTGGTGAATGGGAATCGCTTTAAAGGGTTCCCCGGCCGCCCGAGTGGATCTCGCTCAGCGCGCGCGGCCCGAGACAAGTTAACGCGACGACAGAAGGGAGGAGGAGGAGTGAGAAGTGATCGTCCACGGTGCTCGCAGCCGAGGCTTCGCGCTCACCGAACGGGCCTCACCTGCGGGGAGGGGGGGGGGGTTTGAACTCACCTTGTTCTCATTACGTCCTGTCGGGGGGGGCTCCGGTCGGAGCGAAACACGGAGCCCCGTTCACGTGCATCCTTTTAGCGGCTACTTCCGCCGTTTGCGGGGTACCAGCCAGGACCCGGAGCTAGACATCTGTTCGTCGGCGAGCGGGAGCCAAAAAGGCTTCGATCAGATGCAGATCCGACGGTCAATAAAGCGCAGCTTGAACGCCGCCGTAAATTGCCACGATGCGAAATTTCGTCTGCTGCCGCGGTGCGATTTTGTGCAAGCGCTGCAGTCGAGCTTAATGGCACCGGTAACCTGCAACCGGTTCCAGGACCCTCTCCCCACTTCGACATTTCCAATGCCTTTCTGAATCCTGGCCTCTAAAATTAAGGGGAAATGTATTGCAATTTTTTTTAACAGATCCTCTATGATTAGAGGCAGCCTCGGGCCTTAGACTTGGGCCATTTTGATGAATTGGAGGAGTCATCAACTATAAATATAGCTCCGCCTATTACGAATAACACGCTAAGATATACACACCATCAACATGCTCGTCTAGTCGCCATGTAGCGGTTCCACGTACGTGGACACGTGGTTTGCATGAACATTGCACACTGCTGGGTCATGTGATGAAACATGTAATGTTACCTGAGCGATCCCCGATAACCGCGCGCTCTGTATTCGTGCGTTGTGCATTCTGCAGGCTATGATCTCTCCTCTGGCATGGCAGGGGTCTTTGCCGAATCGGTGAGGTCAGGCGGGATGGAAGAAATGTCGAGCTTCCTGCACATCACCGCCATGGATCGCTGTCCCAGCCAGATGTCCTCCATCTACACGGAGGGCTGATGTCCTCCATCTGCGCAATCCGCAGAGAGGAGACCACACCGCATTTGTCGCCGTTGCTGCGCCCAGAAGGCCCGCCATGCCCACGCGCCCCCCAAAGTTAAACAAAAGATCGCGCAGGACGCACACATGCGCACACACATTCACACACACACGCACACACACACACACATTCACACACACGCACACACATTCACACACACGCACACACACGCACACACACATTCACACGCACACACATTCACATACACACGCACGCACACACACGCACACACACACGCACACACATTCACACGCACACACATTCACACACACACGCTTACACACATGCACACATGCACATACACGCACACACACACATGCGCACACACGAAAGAAACATCATCTCAGTAGAGAAGGTGGACGGGACTTCACAATGCATTCCGACTGCGCGAGTGGGTTCTGTGAGTCAGCAGCCTGAATAGACGAGGGTGATGGGTAAGCCAGGGCACAAAACGATCAATCTTGTGGCGCTCACTGAGATGTGGGCACGGCACATTGGAGACGATGCGACAGACCTTCAAGGGGTTCAACGTGCACAACAATTCCCAGGCACGTGTTTTTTTTGTAATGCGTCTCTCTGGTCTCCCTACATATATAAATATATTTCAAAAAACAATAATGTATAACTCACAATGTATGTGTTCCTGGACAATGTTATTGGGCGATGCAACACTCCTCTATGGCTCCCCAGTCGCCCCAACATTCAACAAAATAAAAGTAACGTACAGTTCTCGGTTGGACAACTCTAAAATGCCTTCTGTAGTATTGAGCTCCCGGAGAGCACAAATATATACACACACACAGAGGTTCTGTTGGCGTCTTCAGCCAGACGCGCAGTGGATGGATTAGGTGAGGATTGCGCGTGCCCAATGATCTACGCCGGCGGTTGTTCCCCTTGCAGCAGTCTGTCGCGACAACTTCCCGTTACAATGCTCAGCCCATCCTGGGCAACGTAATTCGCACTCCGGCCGAACGGTTTGACTCCAATCCCGCGGCCCGACAAACCAGAGTGGCAGTGGTGGGTGCGCTGAGAGGTGGGGGCGATGAGAGGTGGCGGCGGTGGGAGCTGAGCGGTGGGTGGTGAGCAGTGAGAAGTGAGCGGTAAGAGGTGGGGGGGGGGAGAAGTGGGCGGTGAGAGGTGGGTGGTGAGAGATGGGGTGGGGGGGCGGTGAGGCAGTGAACGGGACATCTCATCCAGGACGTGTGGATTATTATAGAATTTGACATATGGACAGAGAGGTCCTTCCACACCGAGAGCTGGGAATAACGAGCTCAGATCACGGCCGCTACCCCGAGGGCTGACCACAGGTGCCGTGCCGAGGCAACAGCCTCCCAACCCCCACCACCCCACCAACCCCTTCTTTAGAACTGCCCCAATATGGGGCAGTGGGAATCGATGCACGCAATCGCCCGCTGGGGGAGAGAGAGGGCGGCACCCGGCGAATTTTCTCAGATGGTTTCAATTGTTCACCACTTGTGTATTCAATTAAAGCTCATCCACTCTTGCCAGGTCTTAATAAATGCACGAGGAGAACTCAATATTGCATTATGTATATTATACGCTTTTGAGGTTTTTGATGTAGATTGCGTAATGGTGCCTTAATTGCACTATACATTTCAGAATCAACATGCAGTGTATAAATTATTATTATTATTATTTTAAACGTTTAGATGAATTCAAAACACAATTTATTGTAATGGCGACTTTTAAGCTGTCTGCCAATGTAACTAAATGAAGCAATATATGTTGAGGCCTGGCGCGCACGTTAATCACATGATAGGGTGACATTTGGTAGACCCAATTAAATGGCATAGAAGCCCTATTATTACGGATTCCAATCTCACTCACAACAAGGGTTTTTATGTTTTGTAACAGTTGTCAAACACTGTTAAATAAGGGTTCTCTGTATGGAAACACCGCCCAAGAGGCACAGTAATGAAGGTAATAATAGCAATATTACAGGCTTTAGTCAACTAGGTACTGTGCGAAAGACCTTCAACATATGTACGTACAATCCACTGCTGGTTAGAGACCTCCGCAGGCTGCCTCAGTCATGGGGATGTTTTGATTGCAGTACAAAGGGCTGGCGAAGAGTTAGAGCCCAGGACCCGTCGAGATTTAATCGTGGCCGTGATTTGAATGCCACGTGCCCGGTTCGTAGAGCGACGCGCCAACCGCTGCACCACCACTCCTCCCAGTAGCGAAGGTAATCGATGACACGTAACAAACAGAAAATGCACCGTTAAACGATGCACAAACCTCGCACGGGACGACCCTAACTCAAGCACAGGCTGCACATTTCAGCCGAGTAAGGTGGGTTGCCACTGAACTTGTTATGAGGAAACGTCAAAGTGCCTTTATCTGGTGTAATGGATATTTGGCGGTGTTCGTCTGAGTCAAAGGCGATTGTGGGACTCTGACATTCCTAATGCGGGGACGGTCTGATCTCCCTCGCAAAACCACTGCAAACTGGTACCTATGTTATCCGCCTGGATAGGATGCAGGCCGAGTTGAAGGCTGACCAGGATCTAAACTCACGACCCTAATGGGTGCCACCATGCCAGTTTCCAGAATGAAAAAAACGGTCTTTGTCTGAAACGGCATAATGCATCAATCAGATCAAATAAATGCAGCTTCCTTCATGGTTATGTGAGCGCTGATGTGAAACCTTTCCGGGGTAGGCTCTAACAAGAACAATATATTCATATTTTAAAGTATGTATATTTAATTTATGTTTTATAAAATTTTATATTTTGGATACATGCGTTAAGATGAAAATTTTACAAACTATACGACAATGCAATAGGTTGTTTTTTTGGGTGGGTGCCTCTTTAAAAGCATAAAAAATATCTATACGTCTACCACATTGTTCAGTTCAGTCAATGCCAAGGCCTGTTAATGTAAAAAAATATATATACGCTTGTAAATGATCTATTATGTATTACCATTACATTTATATTATTACTTACTGTAACGTTGTTATGATTTGCAATATATTCTGTCTGATGTTAGGAGGAATATTGTTTGTTGATGGATGCCCCAACATTTTTTTAAATTGTTTGTTCCAAATGTGGCACTGGCATACGAGATGCTGGTGTCATTTAAGCTCGCCACGTGACAGGGAGCAGGGCTGAGGGCCCAAGGCGCCTGGTTCCAATTACAACAAAACGGCACTAAACGAAAGTTTGGAAATAAATAAATGCCACGTTACAACTTAACCCTTTCCCGCACCACACACACACACACAGACAACTCCTTTGAAATGTCTCATTTGAATACCCACGTGTCTTATAATGAGCAATTGTGCCTTTTGGCATTCACTATTTATCTTAATTAGTTTTTTAAGCCTGGTTGTTACAAGGAAAGTGTATCGTATTTTTTATACTGTTTATAAATTGAATCATTGTGATCCATAAAAAAAAACAGACCCCCGTTTTTTCACGTCAATGGCACTCTTTGTAAACTATTATAAACAGCAGATTACTCTTTTTGCCTTTTCCGCAAAAAACAAAACCGAGTCACAACCTGGTGCAGCGTGTTAGGGTGTGTGTGTGTATGTACCTGATGCGATGTGTAAACATCGCCACTCGGGAGACAAAGGCGGCCGGACGCGGTGCTGGCCACCCACTCCCTCGCGTGTCGTGCCGGCCTTGATAGGTGCTCACTAACAGCACTTGCCCCAACAGTCTGTGAAGGCTACACGGGGGAATCTTTGTCTTTGTATAGCTACACCGTTGTCCTGAGAAATGTGTTTAACCCCGCTCATTCATTTCGTCCGTTACAAGTCTCGTTAACATTTAAACGCTGTCCATATTTTATTCACAAGGTCGCAATGTTGTGGTAAACGCACTTTAATTTGCATTCGTATTCCGATTGGTTTCTACTCCCTCTTGAACAATGAACACGCGTTGCTTGGGTGCTACGGGACGGGGCTCCGGTCGCGCTCATTACACACAAAGTGCTTGCCACAGTTGCCTCGCTGATCTCGTCAAAGGAGCACAAAACCATCACGCCAACTCCGGTCGTCCTCGTCGCGGCTTTCGGCTGAACCGTCGAACAAAGACGGCGGTCACCGCATCGCGCGGCGCTTTCAGACGCGCTTCTGCGGCCGTCTGGAACGCTCTTCCTTCCCGATATGAGGAAGCCGCTGGAGCTAGGCACTTTTAAATCATCATCATCATCTAGATTGACGAACTAATTTCTTTTAGAACTGCATTTTGTGTTTGTCTTGTTGCCCTCCTCTTCCTCCTCCCGTGCCTCCGATTAGCGCGGTTGGCTACGTACGGTGCGAAAGAAGTTCAACACACAGTACACATGAACGCGCTGTGATGAACCCATTGGGAGAATCCCTTGCAGCAAACGACGCACACCAGGGTCGAGCTTCAACCGCGGTTGCCTCTCGTCCCGCGCCCGGCGTTTCGAATGAACATGCACATTCCTCCGACGCGTGTCGATCCGTTTCTTGTATTTATATCGTGAACCGTTGGTTCTTAAAAAAAAAAAATCTTTTTTTTTAAGCCGTTTGCAATTTTGTCTCACCGGGTATTCCGTGACTGTTTTCTTTTTGTAATTTACTGTAACTGCTAATTGGAGTAACGTAACGTTTTGTATTTGCTTTTTATACGGTCATCATAGATGTTTAATGGTGAATTGTTCGCGGCCAAAGTGCTTCATAACAGCTGTTTTTAACAAGTCTTGTGTGTGTGTGTATGTGTGCGTAAACACGTGTGCCCCAGACATTTCTTTAAGTTGCACATTCAAATGTCAAAAAAATAAATAAAAGCTATCTTTAAAAGCTAACACGTGTGCGCGTCAGCCCCTTGATGCCGGAGACTCCTAAACGCTCATACGCTGAAACACGGCACGTGCCGACTAACGTTTGTCTTCAACATTTTTACGTGAAGCTTCCTTATTTGTAAGTTGCCATCGCCGTTGCGTGACTCCGTGAATTGGGGTTGAGCTCGGTCATAGTTGGCGGATAGCTCCAGATTGTTGGTCGTTAAAGCTGAGCTGTTACTGTAAAATGTGGAACAGGTGGAGGGGGGTACACGAGACGAGTGCCGATGTCGCGATGGTGGGCCACTCTGCTTACATTGGGCTGTTCTAATCTGTGCGCAGGTGACAAGTGGTGCAGAATATAATCGCATGCCTAAGAAGGAGTTGTCTGATTCAAAGCAATATACACGTATGAACATTCATTCTCT